AAATGGAAAAATTACGTTTTTTATTCTAATTCACAAACTCAATTTAGTAACAATAATGGCTTCCAACCAGGTGTACTCTGGATCTAGATCTGGTTTCCAACCAGGTTTACTCCTTAGGTAGATCTGGTTTCCAACCAGGTTTACTCCTTAGCTATATCTGGTTTCCAACCAGGTTTAATCCTTAGCTAGATCTGGTTTACAACCAGGTTTACTCCTTAGCTAGATCTGGGTTCCAACCAGGTTTACTCCTTAGCTAGATCTGGTTTACAACCAGGTTTACTCCTTAGCTAGATCTGGGTTCCAACCAGGTTTACTCCTTAGCTAGATCTGGTTTACAACCAGGTTTACTCCTTAACTAGATCTGGTTTACAACCAGGTTTAATCCTTAGCTAGATCTGGGTTCCAACCAGGTTTACTCCTTAGCTAGATCTGGTTTCCAACCAGGTTTACTCCTCAGCTAGATCTGGGTTCCATCCAGGTTTACTCCTTAGCTAGATCTGGTATACAACCAGGTTTACTCCTCAGCTAGATCTAGGTTCCAGCCAGGTTTACTCCTTAGCTAGATCTGGGTTCCATCCAGGTTAACTCCTTAGCTAGATCTGTGTTCCAACCAGGTTTACTGAGGATCTAGATCTGGTTTCCAACCAGGTTTACTCCTTAGCTAGATCTGGGTTCCAACCAGGTTTACTACAGAGCTAGATTTGGGTTCCAACCAGGTTTAATCCTTAGCTAGATCTGGGTTCCAACCCGGTTTACTCCAGAGCTAGATCTGGATTCCAGCCAGGTTTACTCTAGAGCTAGTTCTGGTTTCCAACCATGTTTACTCCAGAGCTAGATCTGGGTTGCAACCAGGTTTACTCCAGAGCTAGATCTGGGTTCCAACCAGGTTTACTCCAGAGCTAGGTGTGGTTTCCAACCACGGTTTATTCCAGAGCTTAGCTAGATCTGGTTTACAACCAGGTTTACTCCTTAACTAGATCTGGTTTCCAACCAGGTTTACTCCAGAGCTAGGTGTGGTTTCCAACCACGGTTTATTCCAGAGCTAGATCTGGGTTCCAACCAGGTTTACTCCAGAGCTAGATCTTGGTTCCAACCAGGTTTACTCCAGAGCTAGATGTGGTTTCCAACCAGGTTTATTCCAGAGCTAGCTCTGGGTTCCAACCAGGTTTACTCCAGAGCTAGATCTGGGTTCCAACCAGGTTTACTACAGAGCTAGATCTCGGTCCAAGAAAGTGAGCAATAAATATAAATAAGGAGGAAAGTTTAGAAAGCTGGTATTTATAACAGAAAACATGGAAGTTTTAACTATATCACATAGACAGCAAATTTTCACGAGTTTGATTTACTTAAAAACCTTTGCTTTTAAATTCTGAAAATATATTTCCCATGATTGTCCACCAAAATTCAGCTCATTCGGTCCTCATACAGACCCGGAGCAAAGCTCAGATTGCAAGTAGTCTGGCCTATAAACAAGACAACGTATTAGCTCTTTTGTATAAAGCTATAGGTTGGACAGAAAGTGGGACGGATAACAAGTCATCTCATCTATATCGTGTAGGAAGATTCGGCCGTTAAAAAATGCCAACCCAGAGAATGCTTTGAATGGGTGTTTGGGCGCGTGGAGAACCCAAGTCTCCTTTGGACAGGGAATTCTATTTTCTAATTTTAAATTCAAGCCAATAGACATGAGACACGGCTTGACATGAGGCAGAAGGAAATAGAATAGGCTTGGACTAAAACCGAAACAAGGAGTTAGTGTTCACGACGAGCCCGAAGACGGAAGATTAACTCGTCATACGATGTGAATGAAAGCTCCGGCTTTCCATGATTCATTAGTATCATTTTTATTTGTTCATTTTTTACTTGTGAATACATTGTTTTCCCATACTCTGTAGATTTTCATAGATAAGTTTTCAGGTTTTGGATATCCTTTATACCATCTTTATATGGTAACATGGTGACAGCTTAATAATGCATAAGTAATATATTCAAATTATAATAGGAGCGTACCTGTTGAGGCTCCTTAGGGTTATTGTAATTTTTAGATTCGTTGTGTTTTTGCTGAATATATTCTTTTTAAAGATTTGGTTCCTATACCACATACCATATATATATAAGTTTATGTAAAACGTTGACACAGTTTTATATCTATTTTTCGAGACAGGAACATCAGATAAAACTCTTATGGGTCACGAACAACTCCTAAAGTGTTAAGCCTATATCCCTTTACATTTTTCCTTAATAGTCCCTTTAAAAGTCAAGAAATTGTAAAGTGTAAAAACTAAGTTTTTGAACTGTTAATGGATTAACCATTTTTGAAGGTATTTTAAAGGAGAGTTTAGAATAAGTATAACATATGGAAAACGATGATTATTATTTTTTTAAGGTGTGCATAATTAAAATCGACGATTTTGGCGCTTAATTTGCAAATAAAATTATGAATTTTCAAAATATTCAGTAGAAGTTGATTTATCTTTTAGCCCATGACCTGAGACTTCCAAAATGACATAAAACATCATTCCCAGCCAAAAACTAAATTTTGACTGTCATATATTTCTATTCAAAAGAAAAATGCACATCTGAACAATTTTACAAGGTCGACCTCCCGGCCCACCTCTTCACATTAACTTTATCCCAAAATTAAGTCTCGTTTTGTGTGAGAATGGGCAGTGGCACTAGGCGGGCATTTATTATATCATATTTATCAATTCAAAATTGAATTCAAATATATATATTTGCGAATAAAAAATACCGAAGATTGGTAAAATCAATTTTGGGTTGAGTTTGGTAAATATTTACATTTTTAGATTTTTTCAGATTTTATGGATATTTCAGATTTTTTCAGATATTTTCAGATTTGTAAAAATCTGTAAAATCTGATTTGCTGTTTAGCATCTATTTATTGACTTCATAGCATTATCTATCGATTTCAAAGTTTACTTTACAATCAACATTTACCTTTATCATGGTTTACTCAAGGTTTATTTCAGGTTTAATCAAGGTTTGTTTCAGGTTTACTCAAGGTTTATTTCAGGTTTAATCAAGGTTTGTTTCAGGTTTCCTCAAGGTTTATTTCAGGTTTAATCAAAGTTTGTTTCAGGTTTACTCAAGGTTTATTTCAGGTTTAATCAAGGTTTATTTCAGGTTTAATCAAGATTTGTTTCAGGTTTACTCAAGGTTTGTTTAAGGTTTAATCAAGGTTTGTTTCAGGTTTCATCAAGGTTTGTTTCAGGTTTAATCAAGGTTTACTCAAGGTTTATTCAAGGTTTACTCAAGGTTTACTCAAGGTTTACTCAAGGTTTACTCAAGGTTTACTCAATATTTAATCAAGTTTTACTCAAGGTTTATTCAAGGTTTACTGAAGGTTTATTCGAGGTTTAATTAAGGTTTATTCAAGGTTTACTCAAGGTTTACTCGAGGTTTAATCAAGGTTTATTCAAGAGTTGATCAAGGTTTATTCGAGGTTTAATCAAGGTTTATTCAAGGTTTACTCAAGGTTTACTCAAGGGTTAATCAAGGTTTACTCAAGGTTTGCTCAAGGTTTACCCAAGGTTTACTCAAGGTTTATTCAAGGGTTAATCAAGGTTTATTCAAGGGTTAATCAAGGTTTAATCAAGGCTTACTCAAGGTTTACTCAAGGGTTAATCAAGGGTCAATCAAGGGTCAATCAAGGTTTACAAAGTTTACTCAAGGTTTACTCAAGGTTTAATCAAGGTTTACTCAAGGGTTACTATTACTAAACTTTACAAAATGTTTGGATAATTCTGTTTCACAATTTAAATATTAAATATTTTAAATGTAGTTTACTCCGACCGTAAAACATTAAACCTTTATTCTATAACAAAGCTGTAGAACCTGGAAGAATATTCAAAATAAATCTGCAGACATTATATCAATAAACTTTAGATATTTTTATATATACATATAATATTTTAAAAACATTTTTGAAAAATAAAAATCGTTTTTATGAGTCAAATGTTTGGTTGATCATAAAGAGGGGGCATACCCCGGAAAATATTCATCTACTTTTTCTAAAATTCTGATTTTTTTCTTCAAATTAATCATTATATTTACTCTATTTTTAACAGATTAAGGATTGAATAAACAAAGATGTGTACACTTTTTAAACATCTTGTGATTGTTGTCTTTATTGTGCAAACAATTAAAGATAGTGAGTTCATAATAAAAAAATCCATTCGTAAATTTATGCGTTCAAAATTTAAAAGAGTTCTTTAACGGAACTAAGTACTTTTTCAGTTTATCTATATAAATACTTTGCTTGTCTGTCTGTTTGTTTGTATCCAATAAACGTCAAAACGGCTGATCCGGTCGGGTCAAAATTTTGTGGGGGACCTTACATGAACCCGGGAAGGTTCAAGAATTATCAAAAATCTTTAAAATTAGCTTTTAACAAAATTCGATTTTCATTAAGTTTAAAAAAACCACGAAATCTTTTATAAAATCCGCGAAACTTTTTTATTGTCTTGCAATGTATAAAATAGAACATGTTCACAATTGAAATAAAAGCTGAGGACGGAAATCCTAGTCTATATATATACTTTGCTTGTCTTTTTGTCTGTCTGTTTGTTAATATCCAATAAACGTCAAAACGGCTAAACTGTGATTGGGCCAAAATGTTGTGCAGGCCTTACATGTCCTCAGGGAAGGTTATAGATGATAAAATTTTCCTAATTTTGCCTCCAACAAAATTCGACTTTTTTGCTTTTGTTTTTACAATGTATACAAAAAAAAAATGTTCACAATTGAAATAGAAGATGGGTACAAAGCGCCCTAAAAGTCTAGTTTTATAGATTTTACCAAAACTGTATTTACGAAAAAATGCTATTTTTCTGTAGAAGAAACGATAAAACTAATTGTATTGGAAAAAGTAAGTATACAAAAAAGAGTGAAGCTACCCAGCTCTGATTAAAAGCCATCATTTTATTTTATGTTTATCACTTCTTACGTCTAATATTTATTTATTTACTGATAAACAGTATTTAAAAGTATTCAGAGAAGTAACAACATTTGTGTCTGAAAGCAGTTGTAGGGAGAAGCGGGCAAAATGATAAAATATTTTGGTCTTTTTGTACTCTTTCAAACAACAGTACTGGCGAATAAGTTAGGCCATGATCTTACATCGGTAGGATTATGATTTAAAACATTGAAACATATTAAACATCACCCTCTAAACCCATCAAAGTTTATTTTTGGAATATTGAAATACGGAAATAATAAACATTGTCCTTGAAGTTATTAACAGAATGTTATTAATATCTCGCAACTCTATAAATTATTAAAAATTTAAACATAATTTGAAAATTTTATACTTCGAATAAAAGGTCTAGTTTTTTTCATTTATCATTTAAAAACACTCTTTTTTTTCATTATTTATATGTTCAGCATGAGATGATACTAGAAGCGGGGTATCCTGCTGAACATGTTCAGTAATATACATTTATTTATATGTTCAGCTTGAGATGAGAATAGAGGGGGTATCCTCTGCTGAATATGTTCAGTAATATATGTATATATATATATATGTTCAGCTTGAGATGATACTAGAGGCAGGCCGGGTATCTTGCTGAACATGTTCAGTAATATTTGTGTATATGTATTTTTATATGTTCAGCTTGAGATGATACTAGAGGCGGGGTATCCTGCTGAACATGTTCAGTAATATTTGTGTATATGTATTTTTATATGTTCAGCTTGAGATGATACTAGAGGCAGGGGTATCCTGCCGAACATGTTCAGTAATATATATATATATTTATATGTTCAGCTTGAGATGATACTAGAGGCAGGGTATCCTGCCGAACAACACAAAATCACAACTGACGACTGTTACAAGATAACCCTTCATAGGTCAGACATCTTTTAAAATTGTACTTTGAGAATATATAGGACGAGTCCAAAAAAAAAAAATTAATTAGCAGCGCCTGGTGCAAAATTGTACTTTTGTGCATTTTCCTATATGGTCTTTTTTCAAAATTTGTTGATAACTTTTTTTTTGGTACTCCAGTGGCCCAAAAAAATCCGCAAAACTTTTTTTCTCTCAAAATCTAAAGTTCAGAAAAGCAAAAATTATGTATATATATTATTTCTATTAAATTATAAAATTTTATAAATATTGAATCATAGAAAATTTGGTAAATTTTCTATATTTTAATAAGAAAATCGGCAATTTTCAGTTCTGGTTTAATTTTCAAGGAAAAGTTGTTTTTCAATGGGTCTTCACAGAATATTTTAAGAGAAAATGAAATAGATGATCTACAGAAATATTCCTTAAAAATTAGACCAGAACTAAAAATTGCGAATTTTCTTATTACAATTTTGAAAATTTTCTGTGAATCTATTATTCAATCTTTATAAAATTTTAGAATTTTATAGAAATAACATATATATGTGGCGGATATGAAGGTGGTCCTCTCTCCTCTCAGCTCAGAGAAACCTACGTGGCAGCTATCCAGTTCAGTTCAGTTATCTTGAGTTGTTTTTCATTATTACATGATTGCTAAACTGGTGACTTTGAATAACCATTTTCGTTTCATTCCTAAAAAAATTAAGCAACCCACTGAGTTGCATAAATTAATTTTAAAATCAGTGATTTTAAGTTTGTATTTTTCCTTCACTACTCTTTGGCTGCCTTCTTGTTGTTTCCACAAGCTACCACAGTTGTTAGTTGTTAGTTCGACAGTTATTAGTTTCAGGAATCGCAATTCCTGGAGATCCAGGTTTGACCACTGATGTTGCAGCTTGCCATCTCTGCTGGTCATCTCAATGTCATTCTGATAAAGCTTCCTGTCGTCTGGCCAGAAAGCTGTGAAACTTGGTTCTTGCACGCAGAATCTCAGTTCCACCTGAAGAACATCACTGTCAGTCACACCAAGTTCCACTATGTTATTGCTGCTTTACCACAAAAGGAGATAATAATGTTGTGGATATTGTCAGGAACTCACCTGTTGCCGATCCTCAAGGCTTGTCTTCTAAAGATGAAATCTCTGACAGATTATGCTCTTTGTGAATCCATCATGACACTTCCTTTCTTTTAACGTTGCTGTCCAAGATGAGAGCTCACTTCCAAATAGATCACCATGAGTGCCTTTTCCTGCGTTTTGCATTCATGAGTCAGGTTGCACTTGGTGCATGACAAGACTGGAGAAATCACAGCTTTGTCTCAACATACTGATGAGATTTACGGCTCAGTAACATTTTGCCTAGTACAAGTTCGCCTAGTACATTTTCGCCTAGTACACTTTCGCCTAGTACATGTTCGCCTACTAACTTTTTGCCTAGATAACATTTTGCCTAGATAACATGTTGCCTAAACACAGTTTGCCTAGACAACATTTCGCCTAGATAACATTTTCCAGGAAGAATGTCTATTAGGTACCGGATCTTCAGTTTCAGTGTTTCTACCTCCAACCTCCTCTGCATTTTCTTGCATCAGTCTACTTACGGCAGATGGTTCCTCGGTATCTTTCTCAGGTTCCAGGATTATTCCTTTGCTTTTTGGTTCCTGGAATTGTTCCTGGATGTTTCAACTAGCTCCAGTCTCTGTTCTAATCCTGGTAACAGATTTCCTTCAGAATCATGATCTTAGTGTGAGTGTGGAGCAGAACGCCTTTTCCAGCTCCACTACTAATGGTTCTGTTATTAATTTGTGTTTATCTCTGCCTCAACCCTTCATTCAGCTTTTCTCCCCACCCATGAGTGTGTATCAGACCTCCTGCAAGAGTTTCTTGACGTCCTTCAGTCTGATGAGTTAACAGCTGCTGCTCCGCCATGCCACAAGATCTGTCATCACATCCTCACCAAGCTTGGACAGCCTGTTCTTGCCAAGTCCTGCCACCTTGATCCTGCCAAGCTTGCTGTTGCGAAGACAGAGTTTTCCGCCATGGAAAAAGCCGGGATTTTCCGATGTTCTACTTCTCTCTGGGCCTATTCTTTGTACATGGTCAAGAAGAAGGATGGGAGTGTCAGAGGTTGTGTGGCAATTACTGTCAGCTCATCACTGCCACAAATTCCTGATTGCTATCCTCTTCCAAACATTGCCGACTTCATTTCATGTGTCAGGGGTTCTACAATTTTTTCTAAGCTGGATCTACAGAAGGGATTTTATCAAGTTCCAGTTGAGGAGGAGGACATCCAGAAGACTGCCATCATCACCCCGTTCGGGATGTTTGAGTTCTTGGTGATGACATTTGGTTGGCAAAATGTAGTAGTAACCAGTGAACCAGATCTTAGGAGATCTTCAATTTTTTTTTGTTCATGTGGGTGACATCCTCATCTTCAGCAAGGACCTCTCTTTTCAAGTTGTGCATCTCCAAGACAATTTTCTCCTCTGTTGTGAGTATGCTTTAAATATTGGCCTGCCCAAGTGCCAGTTTGCATGACATTGAGTTCCTTGGTCATCATCTCTCTGGCACTGGTTGTCCTTTCCTTAGCAAAACACTCCGCCCCCATCTTCCCCTTTCCTCAACTATGGACAAGATTGGTGTCCAGTGGTTTCTTGGGATTATTAACTTCTACAGAAAAATTCTCAGAGGTGCAGCCAGAGTCTTAGCTCCTCTTACAGATGCTCTCAAGGGTCCTGGAAAACTATCTCCTTTTCCCCCTTCATGGACTCCGGCTTCAACAAGGCTTCTCTCATCAGTTCCTGAGCTGGTTCATCCTCAGTCCAATGTGTCAATCTCCCTCGCTGTTGATGCCTCGGATTCACACATAGGAGCTTCAACAACAGCTTCTAGAAAAATCATGGTCTCCTCTGACATTCTTCTCCAAGAAACTGTCTGATACCAAGAAGAAATACTTCTGCCTTCGACAGAGAGCTGCTTGCTGCTTATTCTTCTCTCCGCCACTTCTGCTTCATGCTTGAAGGTAAAGAATTCTCAATACTAACTGACCACAAATCATTAAACCATGCCTTGTTCAGGTCCAGCCCTCCCTGGTCAGCTAGGCAGCAGCGTTATCTGTCATACCTGGCAGAATTCACCAGCTCCATTTTCCCTGGTAAAGAGAATGTGGTTCCGTATGCACTCTCTAGGCCTAATCCAGCTCCAATTTCTCCTGAGAAGTCTGCCTTGTTACTAACTACAGGCAGAGCTACTGCGTCCACCTTGGTTCCTCTAGCTGAACCAGTCATTTCAGGTTTTGATGTGGCAAATTACAAACAGCTTGCTCATATGTCCAAGAAATGAGAACCAACCCTCTCTTTCAGTGATTTCTCACCCTCCAAAGACAGGAAACATTTTATTTGATATTTCAACTGGTTCCCTCATTCCCCAAATTCCTTTTCAACTGCAACGTCAGCTCTTCAACCAGTTTCATATTTATCTCACCCTGGAGTCAGTGCATCAAGGAGGTTAATCTTCGCAAGATTTGTTTGGCCTGGAATGTCCAGTGGCGTTGGTTTATGGGCAAGATCATGTCTTCCTTGCCAGAAATCCAAAATATTGACTCATGTTCATTGTCCGGTTCATTCTATTCCAGTTCCAACCCAGAGATTTTCCTATGTTCACATTGATATTATTGGACCACTACCCTCCAGTCAAGGATATGCTTATCTTCTCACCATGATGGACAAGACAACACACTGGTCCGAGGTTGTTCCATTGTCCTCCATCTCCGCAAAGTCCTGTGTCCGGGCATTTATCTCAACATGAATATCCAGCAGACCTCACATCAGACCAAGGTTCTCAGTTCATGTCTGCAATTTGGTCTGGAGTATGTTCTTTTTTTGGGGATTTCAGCCTTTACTACAACCTCCTTCCATCCTCAAAGTAATGGACTTATTTGAATTGTTTCATAGTAGTTTAAAATCTTCTCTCCAAATCAGGTTCAAACTTGTTCTTTCATCTTTTGCTGGTTCTCTTGGGTTTGAGAGCAACACCAAAGGAGGACACAGGCCTTTCAGTGTCCCAGGCTGTTTATGGATTTCTGTTAACTTTACCTGGAGAACTAGTGGATGCTCCAGAGATTCCACCAGATACTTTCTTAAGGAAAGTAAAAAGTGCAAGTGTTGTGTTCACTGTTCCTCTTCCTCATCATATTTGTCCTGATCCTCTGTCTCCACTCCCTGCAGCCCTTGCAGCAGCCAAGTTCGTTTTTGTTCACGAAGATGCATCTATACCTACCCTGACTCCTCGTCCATATCTTGTAATTGATAGGCAGAGCAAATAATTCCGCCTGCAAATTGGATCTAAACAAGACTCAGTTTCAGTGGATCGCCTGAAGCCAGCTTTTAGTGATGAACCCATCCCTCTTGTAATTCCACCGCCTCAGGGAAGACCTCTCTGCCATCCCGTGGTGCCTTCTTTGCAGATTTTTTTGGGGGCCACTGGAGTACCCCCCAAAAAATATATTGAAAAACACCATACATGAGAGTTGCACAAAAAAGGTACAATTTTGCACCAGGTGCCACTAATCACACTTTTTTTGACTCACCCTGTATTTTCCTGAAATTTCTTTACCCCCTGTAAAAAATAACTACAAAAGAAATCTTTTGAATTTTTCTAGAACTTTTTGATTTGTTTTTTTTTCAAGACCCCTCAACCCCAAAGTCACAGTTTTTGAAGGGAGGATGAAATAATGATGGAAATATACACCCCAGAACAGAAAAAGAATGTTATAGGATTCCTGGACCTGGGAAACCCGTTTTTCTACAGCATGGATTAGTTGATAGTTCTGCGGCATGGTAAGAATACAGCCCTCAAACAATAAAACTAGTATTACTAATCTAATGAGTAATGACAATACCAAAATTTGTCATTTTGCAAACCTTATGGAAATCGTTTACAATTTTTGCAGGCTAATTGCTGGAACCGACCACGGAGGACTGGCGTTTAGACTAGCAGAAGCAGGCTATGATGTTTGGCTTGGTAAAGTGAAAACTTTTTAAAATCATGATAAAACTTTAACCTGAAAGTTTTCTTCTCTTTAGAATCCATGTCTTTCTAATCTGCAAGTTCTTAGATAAAACTTGAAGTGAACAACTGTTAAATTTAAATAAAATTTACACTTTTGTAATTTATTTCTATAAAACTTTCCTAACAGGGAATTTTAGAGGGAACACCTACAGTCGTGCGCATTGTACCCTGAACCCAGACGACGACCAGGTGAGATATTTTTACAACCTGATAGCGTAAACCTTTGATATTTTAAACTTTTAGTAACTTTATCTAATTCTAAAATGGCTAGCTCATAGTTCGAAATATGAAAGGTTAACAACATCGGATTTAAAAAGAATCAGGTTTGAAAAGTAGAATTAAGGCGGGCAATTGCAGTCACTCAAATCTATTTTTTATGACATTAATCATAATCTTTGAGTAACGAATTGGTCAACAAAGCTTTGCAAAGTGTAATAAAAGGACTGTATATATCAATCATGGAAAGGGTCTCTATATTTACACTGTTCTCTTTAGATCCGCTAGATCATACTGAGGTTAATGTGTATACTTGATAACATTTAGTCATAAATAGTCTAAATCCGTAATTATGCAAGCAGGCCTCTATTTATCTTTATCTCTTGTATAAGAGAAGAATGATCAGTTTTATAACTGCTAAGATATCAATATGCACTTTTCAAAGGGGGTTGATAGAGCTAGCTTTGATTACCTGCCAGCATAATCAGCTGATAGAGCTAGCTTTGATTACCTGCCAGCATATTCAGCTGATAGAGCTAGCTTTGATTACCTGCCAGCATATTCAGCTGATAGAGCTAGCTTTCATTACCTGCCAGCATAATCAGCTGATAGAGCTAGATTTGATTACCTGCCAGCGGATACAGCTGATAGAGCTAGCTTTGTTTACCTACCAGCATATATATATATCAGTAAAGAATTGACCAGCTGTGGAATTGACATGCTGGGTTACCCACAAAGGATGCGACTTCAGAGACGACTGTGCGGAATTTATTCTGTCTGTTTCCTTACATTTATGATTCTCTAGAACTGTAAATTTGTTCCTTTCTTTTTCAAATCATTAAATAAGCCATAAAAAGACTATCAATAATACAGAAGGCCTAATTTAACCTTGGAATTATCATATTTAATGAGTTTTAGGTCGTCTTTAGAGTGGGTAACTTAGTACGTTATTTCTCTATATGATGAATACACTATAACCTACTTGACTTTTCAGGACTACTGGAAGTTTACATGGGATGAAATGGCTAAATATGATCTTCCCTCATCACTAAATTTTGTACTGTCTCATACAGGTATACCGGGTACAGGGCACAAAGTACGAAGCGTTGGACTTCAAAGACGACTTTACGAGATGTATACTATCTGGGGCCGAATTTGAAAAATTTGAGTCAGGTCTAGACCTGGCTGAACTGCCTACTGCCGGTTCAAATTTGAACCAACCACCGATTCAAATCTTTCCTCAATCTTTTACAAAAATCATCAATTTCAAACAATTTTTAGCAAAATAATATTGAATATTTCTTCAACTGTTGCAAACATGAATTTAAAAACTTGACATTATATTAAGGTGTACGCATTGTTTACAATATTTGGACAAATATATTGCTGAAAAAAACAATAAATGCATGTGTTTTATCAATTTTATTTAGATATAAATAATAAATACAATAAATGTGGAACTAACATCTACTGTTTTTACTCTACAGAGGTTTGGTCCATCACCATCACCGAATTTTAAATTTTATTTAGGTTATGAGAAACTTCTGTATGTTGGACACTCTATGGGTTCAACATCTTTTATGGTTATGAACTCTTTAGACCAGTCTTGGGCAGACAGGAAACCTTTCAAAATTAATTTAAAGCTCTTTCGAGTAAACTCAGAAAATATCCTATCGTTGACATTGACCCATTCAAAATTACTGAAGTAAATTTGATGTATCTTAAATCGTAAAGAGGTCTTCAAAAATGTCAGTTTAATCGAATAAAGTTTTGTAAAGCACTGATAGAATCTAGTCCAAATGCTAGAAACAGTCCAAGATAAATCAAAAGATCATAATGAACATGTATTTAAATCAATTTAATATCTAAATATTATTTTGAAACACACCAAGAAAAAATCTTTTCCAAAGTAAAGAACGTTACGGGGAAAATGAAAATGAAGTTTTGCAGTCTAAATTCTTTCCCCTGGAATTTGAAAAAAAGTTAAAGCCCCCACTGGACAAATCCCTGTATACGCCTCTGATTGGATAATAATTTAGTATACATCGTAAGCAATCTTCTAGAGGCTGGCAACTAAATGAAAGGGTTAAAACAGGATTGAACTTGCAACATTCCTAGCTCCAGTAGCGTATGTAGATCATATGCTCAGTCCTATACGTATCATTGCTCCATTTGCCTGGGCCGTAGAAGTAAGATTTTAAAAATCATTTTATTTTAAAAGATGAAGACAAAATTTAAAGTGACCTCCATTTGAAAAGTATCCTTGACGGAGTTATCCTTATATTATCTCCTAAAAACGCTTTTATAACTCTGTATGCAAACCGTTTTAAAGAATTTACAAATACTTTCTGGTATTTGGGATTTTCGAGAATGATGTATTTTTTCACACTAATTGATTTCTATATTTCCTTGAATATTTTTATCTTAAAAATATGGCAAATTATGTTTGTTTTAAGTGGATCACTGAATTCCTGGGTCTAGGAGAATTTATCCCCAGCAATGGGTTTATGGACCTGCTGGCCGAGTATGCCTGTGATGAAGGTTCCTGGCTACAGGATGTGTGTGAGAATGTCGTCTTCCTGCTGTGTGGTTATGATAAGCCCCAGATGAATGAGACTATGTTGTCTACAATAGTAAATCATATTCCTGCTGGAGCATCAACTTATACTATACTACACTATGCACAGGTCTTAATAATCAGTTTATAAGGGAATTGTTTACTTACCCGAACCTTAACTTTATAATCCGTATATCTTTGATACAGGGTTACCCACAAAGGATGATACTTCAGTGACGACTGTACAAAGTTTACATGGCCCTTTTCCTTGAATTCATGGTTGAAAAGTCAGATTTAAAGAGTCAATTTTAAAGTCTTATCCTTTGTGGGTAACCCTGTATACCCTTGATATGTCAAGCTAATAACTATCCTGGATTATATAGTTAAAATTTAAATACTGAAGTTTACATCATCAGTGTCCGAATTTAATAAATTTACACCGCGTCTAAAATCCGCCAAAAAACCGGTTTCGGTTGAGCGCCGGCTTAAATCTTGAAACATTGAATACAACCAACCGTATTTTAGCCGCGGCTTAAATTTAAGCCGCCGCTCAAATTCTTTAAATTCGGTCTCAGGTTGCAAAGATATAGAGATTGGAAAATTAGAGTTTTTGGCAATTGTTTAATTTCTTAATGTTAAGTTTACATTTATATTATCAGATAGATGGAAATTAATCAATGACAATGAAAAGGAATTGAGTTTTTGCCACAAACTCTGAATTTATAATCCCTATATCTTTGGAACCCAATGTTGTACATCTTTGATATTTCAAACTTATATCATTTGATCTAACAGAATTCATAGTTTGAAATATCTAAGGTTTACGACATTGGAATCCAAATAGAAAATTAGAGTTTGTGACAAAGAGTCAATTCCTTTGACATAGAACAACTATGAGATAGTTTATCATGTTTTTTTTCCCGAAATTTGTTGAACTTAAAAGTTTTGCAATTGAGTCTTTTCCACAAACTCTGATTTTCTAATCCCTTTATCCTGCCAATCCAATGCCATACCCTTATATATTTCAAACTATGAGTTCTGTTAGAGAAAAAATATAAGTTTGAAGTATTAAAGGTTTACACCTTCAGGTTACCAAAATATAGGGATTAAAAATTTGAGTTTGCGGCAAAGACTCAATTCCTTTGAGCTTAGACTTGGTTTACATCGAATCGAATTTATAAGGTTCTGCCGTGAGAATATGATTTAAAAAATGTATGGCATCTATTCAAAAGATAATTCTTTTCATATTGAAATGGGAAATGGTCTCTTAAAGGTAAAAAAGGTATTTGGTCATAGGAAAAACCCGCACATGGAATCAGATATCCAAATACTAATAAAGAAACCACATGGAATGACTTAAGTTTTTAAAAAAAATACCTTAAAAACTATTAATTGACATTTGAATATTTAGAAATATAGAAATTTTTTTGTGTAACTGTCAAAAATATTTTCAATTTAATCAACTGAAATTATCGACACAATTGGCTGCAATAACTAGTTTCTGGGATTAAAGAATTTCTTATTTGAAGGGAGTGAATACTAAAGAATTTCTTATTTGAAGGGAGTGAATACTAAAGAATTTCTTATTTGAAGGGAGTGAATACTAAAGAGTTTATGGGGTTTGACTGGGGTAATGATGAGGAGAATGAAGCTCACCACGGACAAAAAGAACCTCCTCTTTACAATCTGGAAAATGTTAATGCAAAGGTAGACAATGCTATAATTTTTTAACTAGTTAGATTCTTTTCAAAACGGTTTATTAGAAAGATACATCTGTTCAAACTTTCAACAAAACTTTCATTAAGACCACATTTTTGAATCAAAAGTAGCTCTTACATTACTAATGCTACCAATGAGCTTAAAAAGATTGAGTTATAAAATTGTTACTTGGTTAGAATACAGTATGTTATTCAGTAAAAATTGATCCCTTAGTGGGATTGTAAGCATAATTTTAATTGACCCTCTATGCAGAGATAGAAATGCCAGATTTACAATGGTACTCTTAAAACATTGATATGTTAAAAATGTGGAATATGTCGTCCGTTTTTTACTAAAAAACATGCATATATAATTCATACTTGACAATACAAAGTTTTAACTGTACTGAGTCCGAATTTAATGAATTTGAGCCGCGTTTCGAATCCCCTAAAAACGGTTTCAATTGAGCACCGGCTTAAATATAGAAACATTGAATACGATTTTTAATGGAACCAACAATATTTAAGCCGCAGCTTAAATTTAAGCCGTGGCTCAAATTCTTTAAATTCGACCTCCGTTCTATATCGGGAATTGCCATCTTTGCATGGAGGGCCACCTGAAATTACGCATACAGTATCTTCAAAGTTAAAAGCATGTTAAAAAAATAAAAGTACACTTCAATGCACATATTAAAGAAAAAATAGATCCTCAAGAGGAATTTGATAAGAGTGGGAGAGAAATTGTTTTACTTCCTCACTGTATCACGCTCTCAAGCAAAAATCGAGAAGAATTTGCTAACTACTACTTAAAAATACTAAAGCTAACAACAAGTGCTTTAAAGTGCTAAAATCTACATGTAAAGTGCTAAAGAAAAGCAAAAGTGAGTTAGAGCGGTAAAATCTAAACCCAAGATGTTGAATCTATTTGTCCTCTTGTTAGACAGATACGAATATGCTAGATTTGACCAAATATTTCAACATTTTTACAAATTTCATTTTTGGTTGTTTTAATGAGAAACACTTTTTTAACTATAAATAGAAATAAATTTAGTCTTTGTCATAAATTCTGATTAATATTACCGAAACCTTGCAACCCCATGTCGTAGACCTTAGATATCTCAAACTATGAATTAGGTTAGATCTAAGTTTGAAATTTCAAAGGTTTACACCATTTGGTTTAAAAGATCTAGGGATTAGAAAATTTTTGCAACAAGGACTCAATTTCTTGGATGAATATTAAACAAAACAGAACTAAAATAATTTAAAAAGAAATCAAATAGAGTTAAGGGAGGTGGAATACATTTTAAAGGAGTAAACATATGGAGAGATATAGTGTAGGAAAGAGAAAAGAAGAGAAATACTTGATCAGGAAAGGAAAACTAGGTTCAACAATCTCTCTAGGTTGCTCTATACTGGGGGGATGGAGACTGGTTAGCCCAACCTGGAGATCTTATCAAAATTGTTTCAAGTCTTCCAAATTTAGTTGTTAACTATCAGGTGAGAGTTTTAGATAGAGAAACCCGAACGTTTTATTCAAAATATCTAACTAAAGGAAGGCATTTTGAAATAAGACACGTTTATTCGCAATTCGCACTCTGTTTAAAATCCCAAGCATTCTGTTCAAAATTCAAAACAAAATGTTTGTAATTTCTAAACGCTCTCGTTAGTTCGATATTATCATATTCTGAACAACATTTTAGGTTTTTTCTAATAGTGTAGTCAAGGGTTTAAAATAAAATTTAACAGTATACTCATTCATCAGTACTAAGGATTCATTTAATTTTGAAGCGCATTATGATCCACTGAAAAAGGAATCTTAAACTAAATGCTAAAATCATATTTTAAAAATCTACTTCCAGATTTGCCTAAAATGTCAATTACTCTAATTTTCTAGTTCCTATATTTTTGCAACTTGATGGTGTAGACCTTAAATATCTCAAACGTTGACTACTGGATCTAGCAAAATTAATAGTCTGAATTACAAAAAGGTCTATAATATCAGGTTGCAAAGATATCAAGGGTTTATCGAGATGGCAAGGAATTTTCTAACTGTGTACCTGAAAATTAAAATAATATAATATCATATTTAACAGGTTCCTTGGGAAGGTTGGAATCATCTAGACTTCATGTACGCCATTGATGTGGATCAATATATAAACTTTCCTTTGTTAGAAATGTTTGAAAATCTGGAAAAATAAATGTTTAAGAATGCATATCAATTCATTTAAACATTGTATTTGGAAAGAAGTGAAACGATTAAAAAAATTAAAGTTGGTAAAATTTGCGTCATATGTAAAAATGTCCGCCGGTATAATATGCTACTGCAATTATATTTTAGCTTCCACAACTACAAAATGTTCAAGCAAAATTTCTTAAATATCATAGACAATCAAATATTGGATTGCAGAGATATATTTATTACTGATAATTACATATTATTAGTTGATCGTCATACTTCATAAGTCCTTACATGCTAGTGCTACAAGTTCAGTGCTGGATCTCTGGATTTAAGCATCCTAAACACCGCTATGAATATATAATGCAGCTAGTGCATCATGCTCTCATAATACTCAGCCTTTTGAGTGAGCTTTACAACATCTTTCTCTGAGAAGTCCTGTGCTAGTCCCACACTCCAGAAGACTAGCTGGAACAGGACAAACATGATAACAAATATGATTTGTCCCTGTTTATTAATTCTCCTGGCATCTGAGAGTTTATCCACAGGGTCTCCACCCTGAATAAAGAAGCTGTTCACCTGCTGTTTCTTTAACTGTGGGTTGTCTTTTTTTCTCCTCCCTCCTGCACCCAGCTTTTTCATTTTCGCCATTGCTTTGTCATTCTTGTTTGGAGAGAATAGTTCTTCAACATGAGCGCATTGATAGGTATGGTAGGCCATAACTACAATTATGATGTTAAATGAGTAAATTAGAAAATAATCTATCATTTTTAAGTAGGATGTCTTCGGCACCATTTCATTTATACTTGTCTGAACATTAGCTATGACCAGCATACATGTTATAGACACCATTACTCTGTCTTGAAAGTTATCCACTCTGTAGTAGAATGTCATGTAGGCAACAATAAGGAGTAGAATAGACTGCAGGAAAACAGATATTGCATGGTAAAACCACAGTCGGGTTAGAATCAGGGAAACCTTCATTGATGCAAATTTGGATTCAGTTTTGTTTAAAACTTTCATCAGCATGCCTCCAACCTTGTACTCTAACAAGTATTCTTTTCCAAGATATTCCACACCTTCATCAACGACTAATGTTAAATAGTCTTTAGTACCTCCACTCATATCAAACACCATCTTGCAAACCTGAGTGTCGAATGGATAGTAGACAAGATCATAGTCACAGGCCCAGTCAATAAAATACTCACGGGTCATACTTATCCTACTATCTTTTCCTTCATATATGTTTGCTTCTATAGCATTTAATGTGTTATCAGGAGCAGGGCTTCCGCTTCTTTCCACAAAGGTTGAAACTGATGCGTCTACAACTGTTCCTCCAATGATCTTGGCAGTTGTAAAGCTTAGTGAAGGTGACCAAATTCTAGACTTTAAACTGTCTGAGAGTGAATTTAGATCTGAAGCTTCCTGGAGATCATAAAAGTTGAGACGTGGATCCACCCAGCTCATGGTTAGATCAAAATCTGCTGTAAAACTTAAATCCAGCGTGTCAACTTTGGGGAGGGCTAAAACTGAGATTTTTATATAAATTTGGAGTGGGTCTCCATTTGAAGTTCTTGGAAACATCTCTTTTCTGTAATCATCTTCTATCTTAAGGATGTCACAATTCTTTTCATCGCTGGCATCAGTGCAGTCAGTGATTAGGTTACATCTCTGACCAATGGTAACACAAGACCCGTCATCACAAGTAAACTCTTCACTGCCCTTGCAATTTGTCAGTGTCATCATATGCTTCTCCTGATTTTCTTTTAAGCAGATTCCAGAACTCACCTTCCACTCCTTCCTTCCAATAGGGTAAAAGGCGGTTGGTATAGAATCGTCAGATGTCAACTCTGCATACCTTTCCACATCATACAAGCTCTCAAGTCTCCAGGTCTTATCACTCTTAATATAGTAGATGTGACTTTTGCCTGGTCCCCTCCAATGAGCCTTTTCATTGATAAATCCTTCAATAAAATATTCAGAATCAAAAAATCCTTCCATGAGTTTAGTTTCAGATAAACAGAATCCTCTCATTGTAAGATTTATCCTCATATCAAATTTGCAGGCTGAGCAGGACCTAAAATACATTTTTTGTGTTAAGATTATTCTGATGTTTTAAAAGCTAAGTCAATGCATACTTAGAACTGCACTCCTGTGTTTCCCATTTCCTATCTCCAGTTGTGGTTGCACAATTCACAAGATCTCCCCCATTGGGTTGTCCATCCCCCCATAATCCAGGAAATGCAAGGGGTTCTCTAAGCACAGAATGTATGTAGAAATCTGAGTCAGTTATATTTGCGAAGGAATTTTTCACCGTGTTTTCAATTTGTCTTATTTGTTGGCAAATAATAACTGTTGGATAGTTCAATGCTGTAGACTAAAGTTATTGGTAATTTGGCAAAGGAAAAAAAGCCTCTTGAAAAATTTTGAATATCTTATTTGAAAAAAAAATATCAGTCACCCAATTACATGCTTGGATAATTCCACTTTTGTGATTCAATCATGCAGTCTGTCAAAGATTCTCAGTGATCTTCGTAGTATTTAGGGTGTCTGTTACCTAGATATTGGATTGGACCATACCCCCTCCTCCCATGTATCAGTGGCACCAACCCAGACAGTCAAACTTCCAGATGCACTGATACATTTCTCATGTACATCAGATCTTACAATACCCTCCAGCTTATCCATTGTGCTCTGGTACTCGTCACCACTGTTGGGTACTCAAATATAGAATGGTTGATTTTACATAACATGAGAGGGACTGCAGAGGAATATGACTTTCCATTTTTAAAGGGAGTGTCCGCGAAAAATGAAAGGGGGTATAGGCTTGCGGCGAAAAATAAGCACTTTTGATTGCTACTAATATTACTTCTATCTGTTGCGTCTATAAGGAGAAAATTGTTAAAAAACGACTCATACCGAAGAACGTAGTGTCCATACAAATTCAGAAAGATGCAACATTCAACTCGGATAGTATACAAATAGTTAAATAATATTTTGTATTTTTCATGATCTGAGAGTTACTTTTGAAAACATTTATTCCTGTTTCGAGGATTTTTGATAATGAAGACGACATTTTCATATTTTCAGGAATGTTCAAAAATCCAGCGTCATCGAAAATTATTTTAAAAAAGCAAAAATATTAATAATCGATGACTATTGTTTGTAATATCTGATTGATTTGTTTGGAATTAAATTGATTTGTTTACGTTGATTTATTTAACTGTTAATGTAATTTATCTAATAAATCCCTTTCGTTCATATATATATCTATATTCTATATATAAATTGGCTTGTCTGTTTGTCTGTCTGTTGTTTGTTTGCTTGTATCCAATAAATGTCAAAACGGCTGAACCGATCGGGCCCAATTTTTTTTGTGGGACATCACGTGACCATAGGGAAGGTTTATGAATGATAAATTTTTTTTAAAAATGTGCTTTAAAGGTTTAAAATTTAAATTCCTGAAAATCCGCGAATTTTTTTTAAAATCCGCAAAATTTTTTTCTTCTTTGTTTTAAAATGTAAACAAAAAGCACATGTTCACAATTTAAATAGAAGATGGGCGCGAAGCGCCCTAAAATCCTAGTATATATATATATATTTGTATATATGTTAGCTATAGCTGGCCAAACGGCTGGACCAAATTGGCTGACATTTTTTGAGGAAGCCCATGAGTAGCCCGGAAGTAACATACCTAGGCTAAATTCAAATGATTTTATTTTCAAAATGCAAAATTTTGTTTAAGTGTATTAAAATTCCACGGACAACGCCGGGCACTTCAGCTAGTACATATTAAAGATATATTCTTACTTCTATCTACTTCAGCTGGTACATATTAAAGATATATTCTTACTTCTATCTACTCCAGCTAGTACATATTAAAGACGTATTCTTACTTCTATCTACTTCAGCTAGTACATATCAAAGACATATTCTTATTTCTATCTACTTCAGCTGGTACATATTAAAGATATATTCTTACTTCTATCTACTTCAGCTAGTACATATTAAAGACGTATTCTTACTTCTATCTACTTCAGCTAGTACATATCAAAGACATATTCTTACTTCTATCTACTTCAGCTAGTACATATTAAAGATATATTCTTACTTCTATCTACTTCAGCTAGTACATATTAAAGATATATTCTTACTTCTATCCGAATTATGGTTTATCTATAGTTGTAAAGTTGTTGAGTGTACAAAATATATGATTTGAATTGGATAAAAAAAAAATTTACTAAACCTGGTATTTCTCCTCCTAAATTCCGACAAAACGAAGTGAAGAAGAAGAAATTGTAATCCTCGGGAAAAAGAAAATAACTAAAAATATAATTACTGGAGTTAACTAAAAAGTAAATGTTATCTATATGATAAAGCTCAATTCACTAATATATTGCGAAAGCATGAAACAACATGTCCCTCCTCCTTAGTTCCTTCAGAATACTTACCTTGGTCCCTCCTCCTTAGTTCCTTCAGAACATCTACCTTGGTTCCTTCTCCTTAGTTCCTTCAGAACACTTGCCTTGGTCCTTCCTCCTTAGTTCCTTCAGAACACTTACCTTGGTCCCTCCTCCTTAGTTCCTTCAGAACACTTACCTTGGTCCCTCCTCCTTAGTTCCTTCAGAATACTTACCTTGGTCCCTCCTCCTTAGTTCCTTCAGAACACTTACCATGGACCCTGCTCCTTAATTCCTTCAGAATACTTACCTTGGTCCCTCCTCCTTAGTTCCTTCAGAACACTTACCTTGGTCTATACTCCTTAGTTCCTTCAGAACACTTACCTTGGTCCCTCCTCCTTACCACTGCACAGAGTAAAGGTCTGAACATATTCAACATCAAGGTTCCTTTCCTCCCAATACTCTTCAGACCAACGGACAATATTTCCAAATACGTCAGCTCTAAATCATATCATACTTAAGGTTGATTTACATAACAAAAATATTTCATATTCAATACTAAATATTAGATAAATCGAACAGCGGAAGATTAAGTATCTTTAAAGAACTAATCCAAAATTATAAAAAAGAGATAAATCCAATATTATATTAAAACTAGGTAGCCCTGCCTAAAGCTCGGATCCATGACCACAAAAATAAAAGTACTAAAGTATAACCTAGAATAAATTCTTAGGGTCAACTGATTTCATATCTGTATAAAAAAAATTCTTGAAGAAAAAGATCAGAGTATTGATTTAACTCCTGTCTTTTATATTCCTTGGATAATATCTGTATGATTTATGATCTCTTAAATATTTTTGTAATTAGTCATTTTTCAGGAGACACGATCTCAGTTTGATGCCAATTATTCAAATCATACTTCACACCGCTGTAACTAATGTAACTTTATTCAAATATCACACACATAGTATCACTTCAATTTGGGTTTTTATGACACCCAAAATTTTATATCGATTATCTAAGAAATAAAATAAAATAAAAGTTCTAGAAAATCTGTAAATTATAAGATTTTAGATCTGTAAAAAAGAAAATTTTCTGTAAAAAACTAAATTTAAAAAATCTGATGATTTTTATCAACTACGCAGAAAAGAAAATCTTTAGAACCTGTAAACTGAAAAATCTGAAAAACGTCTAAGATGTGTTTTGTTCTTAAAAGGAAGTTAAAGTAAAATTTTTGTTAACTTCCTTCCTTTAATCCGGATGAGTTTTGATAAAACTAATTTTTTTTACATTTTCTTGTTTAACCTTACTTTGAAGTTTAAGACCCCCCTATTAGTCACTCATACTTATGTAAAATATAAATAAAGTAAATGTATGGAAGCAAGTACTCTTGAATTTAATGCTAAGTTTACGGGGATTTTGAAACATTTTACAACCATGAGAGAAGATAAACTATTGGACAGATTGCCAACATTTACTTTCAACCAACAGAATCGTTTCAAAGAAAAATTATTTGAATGAAAATATTTATGGTTTTGAATTTCATCTTTTCATCAGCAAACTGTGCTTTTTTTCTATGTTTGGTGAAATGCCTTCACGATTGTTGTAATAGATGGAATGTCAATTTTAACATTTAAAAAAAAAAAAACTTATAATAAAAGTATATGAAAACGAAAAAATCGTTTTAAGAAAAATCGTTTAAAAAAAGAATTTGAGAAAGTTTTTAAGAATGAAAAACGAAACGAGCGCTCAGCATTTTCACCATAGAAAACACTCGCTTTCTAACGATGAAACGACTGTTTTTAAAAGGTATACAGACGAAACTATGAAAACTCGTGTAGCCGAGTTACTACAAGCCAGTTATAGAATAAAACAATTTACATAAGCGAAGAAAATCTAAGACAGCATTCATGAACCTTGCTACACCAAATTGTACACACATTTTGAAAAACGTCTATAATTTTTTTTGGTCTGAAAAGGAAGCTAAAATTAGTTTTTTTCGTAAGAGAAATAAATCCCTATTTGACCGTTTTCCAAAAGGTTGCCAATGAACGCTATGAAACCGAGTTAATAATCTTCAGCTCAGTTTGTAAACACTGTTACCTGTGATGTTTAGTTTTTATTCAGTTAAAACCCGAATATGCATAACTGTTTTTAGTTAACAAATGCACTTGATTATATATTTTATCTTGTAAACATTACATCAGTAATAATAAATCAACATTAATTACCAAATATGAACTTTTTACTAATAATCGTAATCATTTATTGCAAACCTTTGCCACCTCATTTCTAGTTTTCATTCAAAACCCAAGAGCGAGAAATGATTTCAAACTTAATTGAAATGAACTTTATTTAAACGCATTCTAAAAAAGGTATAATCCGTGGATAAAAATGAAGATTACCTACACTCTGCTAGGTTTTTAATGTCGTATTCCTCTATCACAAAGTCCCAGAGATTATACTGTGTTACAGCTCCGGACCAGGACTGACGAAGATCATATCCTCCATCAAGCTCATCCTGGTCCTGACCTAAGCACAGAGATTACACTGAATTACCGCTCCGGGACTAATGGAGATCGTATCCTCCGTGTAGCTCGCGGTTATGAGTTCATTATTGAAATTTGGAGATTATACTGTGCAATTACTCCAAGACTGACTAAGATCATACCCTTCATTTATCTCATCTAAACACAGAGATCATACCCTCCATTTAGCTCATCTAAACACAGAGATCATACCTTCCATTTAGCTCATCTAAACACAGAGATCATACCTTCCATTTAGCTCATCTAAACAGAGAGATCATAACCTCCATATAGCTCATCTAAACACAGAGATCATACCCTCTATTTAGCTCATCTAAACACAGAGATCATACCCTTCCATTTAGCTCATCTAAACACAGAGATCATACCCTCCATTTAGCTCATATAAACACAGAGATCATACCCTCCATTTAGCTCATCTAAACACAGAGATCATACCCTCCATTTAGCTCATCTAANTTAAAATTTTGAAAATCCACGAAATTTTTTGTGAAAATCCGCGAATTATTTTTGTTTTGTTTTACGATGTACACAAAGAGAACATGTTCACAATTAATTTAGAAGATGGGCGCGAAGCGCCCTCTAAGGCTAGTAATGAATACTATACCAGGACGGATTGGTTGCTTACCTATAATAAATACTCTAACAGGACGGATTGGTTGCTTACCTATAATAAATACTTCACCAGGACGGAATAATTGCTCACCTATAATAAATACTCCACCAGGACGGATTGGTTGCTCACCTATAATAAATACTCCATCAGGACGGATTGGTTGCTTACCTATAATAAATACTCCACCAGGACGGATTGGTTCTGCAGATTTATCTCCTGCGAATGCTCCACTATCAACCTTCTCTCCGTCTACGAAGAGCTTGTACTGATCTCTATATCCGTCATAGGTTATACAGAAATATCTCCATACACTAAAAATTGGAATCTATTTATAGACACATTTGGTTTGTCTGCTAGTTTTTTATTAGTCTACTTGTGGTGAAAAAACGGCCTAATCAATAACCCCGAAGACGGTTCAATAGCAGGGAAAGTTAAAACCATTGTCTTGTGGCGGCGTAGTGGCGGAAGACAAGGCTTTTGAGGAGTTTTGAACCGAAGATCAAGACGTTCTCCAGATTCCAAGCCTGCCCCATTCACAGCCAACCTTCTCGCCACTCCTCAATGTATCACCGACCTCCTCGCAGAGTTTCCAGATGTGGTCTCGTCCGACGGTTTCACGGCCTCTAAACCTCGTCATGGAGTTACTCACCATCTACTCATTCAACCTGGTCCTCCAGTATTCGCAAAGGCTCGACGTCTGGACTCGGAGAAGTTGGCGTCCGCCAAACAAGAGTTTTCTGCCATGGAGAAAGCTGGGATCATTCGTCGCTCTAATTCTCCTTGGTCTTCTCCTCTTCATATGGTCAGGAAGAAGGACGGAGGCTGGCGTCCTTGTGGTGATTATAGACGACTGAACACGGTTACAGTTCCTGATCGGTACCCTTTACCTAATATTGCTGATTTCACCTCTCGAGTCACAGGTTCAACCATCTTTTCTAAGTTGGATCTTCAGAAGGGGTATTACCAGGTTCCTATGGCTGAAGAAGATATCTGTAAGACAGTGATCATCACTCCATTCGGGATGTTTGAGTTTCTGCGTCTCCCCTTTGGCCTCAGGAACGCGGGGAACACCTTCCAGAGGATGATGGACTCCATCCTTGGAGACCTCCCCTACTGCTTGCAGCAGAGGATCGATGATGCCTGGGTTCCGTTGTCCTTTTTCTCAAGGAAACTTTCGGAGACCGAGAAGAGGTACTCCGCTTTTGACAGAGAACTCCTGGCTGCTTATCTATCTATCAGGCACTTCCGCTTCATGCTAGAAGGTAGAGAATTTTTGTTATTCACTGATCACATACCTCTAACCTCAGCTTTGTTCAGGAGTTCTCCGCCCTGGTCTGCTTGTCAACAGAGACACCTGGCCTATATTGCGGAGTTCACGAAGTTGCGGAAGACGAGGCTTTTGAGGAGTTTTGAACCGAAGATCAAGACGAGGCAAGATGAGCAACTTCCGGCCACGTCATCCCTCTATTTGAATAATATTTTACGTTTTGATAAATTTAAGTTCTAAATTTTAGTAATAAAGTAATTATTTAAACCAGGCGTTTATCAAACTGAGCGTAGCTAAAGTCTCAAAAACTTTTTTTCGGGAAATCAAACAATGAAAAGTTTTATGATGTAAAGAGTGAAAATGGTGTCATAAGCAACATTTTGAATCTAAACTTATCACGAAAAAAAATGTCCGTGAATTGCCTGTAGGCCTAGAAAAACAATTATACATTTTTAGGGAGAACAATCTATTATAAGACTATTGTAAAAATTGTTAAATATTGCATACAAATCTAAGGAAAACTGTCGATCTGTGTAAAAGTTATCAACTAAGTTTACCTTTTCAAGTTTCAAGTTTATTTCTATTGTTCAATCAAGTTGTTTAGCTTGAGAGTTGAAACTAAAATTTAAATATTATTTATTGTTTTAAATATTTACTTAAAAGGGGGTAGCTCATAGTGCCAGCTGCAGTACTTGGTTCCTGTCTTGCAAACCCTGGAAACAAATAAAGATTTTAAGATAATATTATAGAATAAGGTTAGAGGTAAACCCCTTTTTAAATCTTCAATTTTCTCACAAAAAAATTGAATAAAAATGGTATTCTCTCTTCTAGATTCGAGGATTCCTACAAGAAAGACGTATAAGAAAAAGTTCAAAATGTGTCTCAATTTAGCAAGAAAGCTTAAAAGCTTTACTGGACCCAGGAATAATTACCGAAAGTTTTATTTTAGTGTTGTTTTAGTTTCAACGACCCAATACAAACCTCAATATATAATTGCATTTTTTAATAATCGACTCAGTTATTATTTCAAATAAAAAATTTATTTTAAAGATCCATCACAAATCAGAAGACCTTACTACAGTCTTGATTTAGCAAGGTTATTATATGTTGCAGACAGCCTTGAAACTTTGATTTAAGATATTTTTTTCTAGTGTGTAAAAAATTTATTGACAATTATTTATTTTGATACTTGTTGAAATAAATTTTCAAGCTAATATCTGCTTGAACATCATGTAAGGTGCAAGGTGTCCCAAAAACATGACATTTTTAAATTTATTTTTACATAATTTGTTAAGTTCTTTGATACCAAAGAGAATAATAAAACATATCACATGGCAGTCATATTTCATAAAAAAAAGATTAATTTCAAAGTAAGATATTTTTTGATTAAAAGGCTAAAGAAATAAACTGCCAAAAGTCTTTATAATATCTTATATAGTATATGGAAGAAGACATTCTAAATTGTTTATCAACTGTCATGTTTCGTGGGACATATATTTCCGCACCCATAGAGAAAACATGAATGATGCGTACATTTTATCATTATAACGATAATCTGTGAATTAGATTAGGAATAGTAAGAAAGAATAAAATCATGAAAACCTGAACGCATTTCTTCCGAGATGAAATTCTGAAAAAAGTTCGTCAGTTTCTTCGTTGCTGTACGCATACGTAGTTATGTACATCCTAGGCCGGGTATAGTACAGCTGGACCCTGTACATAGAAATATTATAAATATCTTAAAATAGTTGTATTTACTTCTTTAATTTTACTAATGTAAACAAAATGTACGGCACCGTGGTCAAACTAAACTGTGCAATTTACTAAATCTCTGTTTTAAGTGTTAAGTGATCAGTACTTCAGGAATATACAACTTTGAAGTTTTAATTTGAAGTGCTCATTTTGCAGTTTAAAAAACATTCTTTATCTTTAATTAAGGCTTGAAGATTATACATTTTACCTATGACAAAATGTGTAACTGAGAATAGGTTGAAGAATAGTTCCGTTGTACCGAGCAGATGTATCCGCCCTGGCATATCCATCCTCCTGTACATAAACCAGTACATAATATTCATACAGTTCCGTTGAACCGAGCAGATTTATCCGCCCTGCCCTATCCACCCTCCTGTACATAAACCAGTACATAATATTCATATAGTTCCGTTGAACCGAGCTAATTTATCCGCCCTGGCCTATCCACCCTCCTGTACATAAACATACAAACATGTACATAATATTCATATAGTTCCGTATGTATCCTCCCTGGCATATCCATCTTCCTGTACATAAACCAGTACATATTCATACAGTTTCGTTGAACCGAGCAGATTTATCCGCCCTGCCCTATCCACCCTCCTGTACATAAACCAGTACATAATATTCATACAGTTCCGTTGTACCGAGTAGATGTATCCCCTCTGGCATATCCATCTTCCTGTACATACACCAGTACATAATATTCATATAGTTCCGTTATACCGAGCAGCTGTATCTTCCCTGGCATAATCATCTTCCCGTACATACACCAGTACATAATATTCATATAGTTCCATTGTACCGAGCAGCTGTATCCTCCCTGGCATATCCATCCTCCTGTACATACACCAGTACATAATATTCATACAGTTCCGTTATAGATCAGATGTATCCGCACTGACATAAACATCCTCCTGTACATAAACCTGTATGTAAAATTTACATAGTTCCGTTGTAAATAGCAGATATATGCGCCCTGGCGTACCCTTACTCTTTTACATTAATAAAAATTCGATATTTCATATACTCTACTTAATCTAGCGTGGATTATACCTGTAGTTTAATAACGAATACTCTACTTAATCTAGCGTGAATTATACCTGTAGTTTGACAACTTATACTTTACTTAATCTAGCGTGAATTATACCTGTTTTTTGATCACGTAAACTCTACTTAATCTAGCGTGAATTATACCTGTAGTTTAATAACGTATACTCTACTTAATCTAGCGTGAATTATACCTGTAGTTTAATAACGAATACTCTACTTAATCTAGTGTGAATTATACCAGTAGTTTAATAACGTATACTCTACTTAATCTAGCGTGAATTATACCTGTAGTTTGATAACGTATACTCTACTTAATCTAGCGTGAATTATGCCTGTAGTTTGAAAACTTATACTTCACTTAATCTAGCGTGAATTATACCTGTATAGTTTGACAACGTATACTCTATTTAATCTAGCGTGAATTATACCTGTAGCTTGATAACGTATACTCTACTTAATCTGGCGTGAATTATACCTGTAGTTTGATAACGTATACTCTACTTAATCTAGCGGGATTTATACCTGTAGTTTGATGACGTGTATACTCTACTTAATCTGGCGTGAATTATGCCTGTAGTTTGGTAACGTATACATTCTATTTAATCTAGCGTGAATTATACCTGTAGTTTGAGAACGTATACTCTACTTAATCTAGCGTGAATTATACCTGTAGTTTAATAACGTATACTCTACTTAATCTAGCGTGAATTATACCTGTAATTTGGTAACGTATACACTCTATTTAATCTAGCGTGAATTATATCTGTAGTTTGAGAACGTTTACACTCTATTTAATCTAGCGTGAATTATACCTGTAGTTTGATAACGTATACTCCTGTAGCCGCATCAGGATTAGTTTCAAGTTCATATATTCCTAATTGACCCTCACTTCTAAAAAATCATAATTATTAAACTTTTAAAATTTGTTGTCATCTCCATTCCCCTCTATTCTTTGGCATATACAGGATTTTTCACATTAATGGCGACTGAAAATTAATTTAACGACTTTCAGAATGATTTTGGTCTGTTAACTGAACAAACAAAAGATGGTTTGGCAAAGAGTGAAACAATTTACAGTGGCCTAAAATGGTATAAAGATTTATCGTCTCTGAAGTTTCATTCTTTCTGGGTAACCCTGTACATTTACAGATACAAAGCATTTATCATTGCAAAATTGTTTTAAACTAAGACGACATTTCCAAAAATCCATTACCAGTGTATGAGCTTGATGAATTGTTTATATGTTGTATACCTTGCAATCAAACTGGCGAAGATTCCCAGCCAAAGCGTAGAAATTGTCCGCGCCACACAGACACATGAAATGGCAGTCAATCCCACGCTCCCAGCCTGCCCGAGAACCCACATCTACCATAGATTGTAACCCAACTAACTAAAAGATGGAAAATTTAACACTTATTTTTAAATCTGATATTAAAAAGGGATTTTACTTTAAAAAGATTTGAGTCAATCCTAATTTTATAAAAATCACGGGGGGGGGGAATATCAATTGCTATAAAGATTGATGATAGAAATAGTTTTGATTTTTAACAAATTTTTGATCAACTCTTATTTTTTATTAGATATATGGTAAATGACATAATGAAGAATTCTTGTAAATGCTTATTTTATTTCATAATCTCTAGGACTGGCCACACGTCTGCATTCTTCTTTCTTGTCCTCTTTATAATTTCTCTTTTAGCTTTCTTTCATTCTTGTTTGGTGGATTATACAGGGTGTCCCACGAAACATTACAGTTGGTGAATAGTTTTGAATTGGTACAGGGTCCATCTTTTCTTAGAAAAAGAAATTGATCAAAATCACTATCTCTGGGCCATTTGGGAGATTTTTGATTAATTGCAAAATTTCTATAATTTTTTGTTTCTCTTTTTAGCCTTTCTTAGGCTTCATCAGCGTGTTTTAATTCAATTATTAGTAGATGCAATGTAATCCTTTTTAAAGAATTAATTTTCGATTCCAATAATGAAGATCAACAGCGTTAAAAATGGTTATTTTCTATAAATCAACCAATTTTGATTTGTCACCATAAAATTCAAATATCAGTTAGAATCCATGAGCAACAGAATATATATCTATCCCATGATAATTAGTTATAGTTATAGAGCCAAGGCTGAAAATTCTTTGGATACCCTTAATTCCGATTGCTAAATCTCTGTATCCATTGTGGACACTTTTGATTTTCTGTTTAATCCTCTCTTTTGGTTATCCCTGCTGGATTCTGACCAATGAGAGTTCTATCATTGGTTGCGTGCCGGAAATTCAAAATGTCTCTGCTTTTAAATGGCTATTCGGTTTCTTCAATTGACACTCTGATTGGCTGCGTTACAGACACTTTCCTGGGTTTTAATGAAAGATTAAATTAATCTGCAGATAAATAAAAAAGAGATCAGGCATTGATCTTGATATCTACACAGTTATAAAGCTTTCAGCTCAGATCGAACAGATCGTCAAGCCACTGCACATCACATCGTGTTTCTTAGGTCGATAAATGCGATATGATTTATTCTGACATTTGGATATTTTCCTGTTAAATGCAAACCTAAATTCGGTGTTAAACCAATAAATATTTTTTAAATGTAGTTCGGCACTCCTCATCTACAAGGATTTTTCTATTTGTTTACATTTTTAAATTTAGAAATATGTATAATGCAGAATTGATAAACATTTACTATAAACATTTTTGGTACAAAATTATAAAGGAATATTAAATCAAAAAAAACTTTAATTATCTCTTAAAGTATCGAACAAAAAAACTTTTTTAATACCAGATAAAATTAAGGGTATATACGGTCTGAATAAAGAATAATTGCCTGACATCTTTATTCTTCATAGATTAAAAATATCTACAATTTTTTTGTTATGTAAGCATGTAAACATTTTATCTACATTATACGAATAGTTTATACAGAGATAAGAAGATTAAAGGCAATGCTGGGCATTGAGATAAGAAGATTGATAATCTTTGAAATAAATGTGTAATTAACTATTTATAACACTGTTATTTTGGTTCGCAGTGTTTCTCTTTATCGAGAAGGTTCAAGCCTTTTTAGATTTAATTTTAATATAATAATAAAATAATAATCTAAAAAGCCGAGAACCTTCAAGATATAGAGAAAATTTAAGTCCAAAAACTTTATAGCACGTCTTACCAAAATGAAAGTGCTATAGGTAATTTTCTGAAACGTTTGTATACTTGTCTTATTTCTATGGCTGTTTCTATATCAAATAAGCTTTGAAACAAAGCAGAAGTCAAAATATAAAGTTGATTTAATTTTATTTTCATTTCAATTTGAAAAGACTTATTTTGGAAAAATCCTAATTTTTGACCAGGACAGCACCCCCATTTTACCTTGCATAATAGTTTCCATTTTTACAATAATAGCGCGCATCGCACTGCGCAAGCCCTGGCCCCCAAGAGAGAGAGAGAAATAAATCAATTAATGAGCCTTAGGCTTCAAGAATACTAGGAAATGTATTGAGGTATATGATTTAACAAAAGTTGTTTAGTAGCTTATAAAACCTTTTCGTATTTTTTGTCAAATTTATTTGTTCTTTATGTAAAAGCAGAAATACATTTTTATAAACAAATCCGAAATGTTAAACTCCTGCCACCTAACGATGAATATGTAACTTAATTGTTGTAAATGTTGTAACTTGTAATGTGTTTATTTAGACTTCAGAGATAAAGCCAGTGTTTAAAGATATGAATAATGTTGCAATCACATTAACTTTGCTGACGACTTTCAAATCGTTTTCTAATACTGTGTCTGTGCTATCATATTACATACTCAAAACTATGAGGAACATAGACCGCTTAATCCTTGGGTTTTTTAAAATGTGGTCTGCTTGTTCTCTGTTTCTTCAAAATTTAAAATTGACTAAATATACAGTTAAACCCTAAATAACCCATTCATCAAAATAATTCATCAAATGTCGATTCTTCACTTTCTGATAATGAAATGTTGCAGATATTTAGTTTTTTTAATTAAATTATTATATGCAGCTCTTTAAAACTGTTCCCGCATATGCATTACTATTTATTTATTTTTGCAAATGCTGAGATTTACGTAAAATAGTATAAAACCCATTGATAAATTGTTAAGACGACATTTGATAAATTTTTTCGATGTAAGGCTCATTTAAGGTTTAACATGTATTATTGGGCAAATTTCTTCGGGTTAATTTATCGAACATATCAAAAAATATCGTTAATATATGAACACGATAAGCTACATTTTAAAATGCCCATGTAGCCGTACAATTTAGCTATCACAGATCTTAGATGATTCATAATTAGTAAGCTTACACATGTATCGTGACGACTGAAATAAAGTAGACATTTAAAACCCATATCCTCTTTTTTTCTGACTGATACAAGCTTAGTGGAGTACGTAGAAGGACGAATTCACCAAAGTCGAATCATCTTGAAAATGTCGTCTTAAAATTAATCCGTCTTTATCTTTATTTGTTTCAAGGATTTTAAAGATTACGGCAGCCTGATCTCATATAGCTTATCTTTTCAAAAACTGAATGTTATAATTTAACAAATTAGATGTTCTACACTAGATGTCAGAACTTTAACGTTTGCAAGATGATAAATCAGTATTTTTTTGATTATGTAAAAAACAATATTTTGACAATGGCATTTTATATTTTGTAGAATTAATGTTCTAGTCTTGAAACGTTTAAAATCTTAGTTATAGATAATATTTGACCATTTCAACACTTCAAATAATGATATTTTAGCTGAATGTTGATTATATCTCTGACACCAAAAGTTGGGCATCTAAGATCAGCTTTTAGAAGAAACCCCTGTCTTCCATTCCATTATTTTGTTTCCTATGAAGGAAATTTCACATTGAAAAGTTGGAACTATTCTTGTCCTCTCTTACTCTTATCCAGCAAGATATAGAATTTGTAATATTTAAACTCTATACTGACTCTAGCCAAAGGGTCACGTATTATAGTGCGGTTTAATAAAAACATGCAGTTTATATGTTTTCAAAGATCTCAAAGTCGTGACACAATTCCCATTTTTATTGGGACAACTTTTGGTTTTGAAATCCCCAAAGCCCAATGTTTGACCGGCCAAACCAGAAATCTAAGAATTCGTGTTTTATGGAGACATAACATATATCTTAAAACCTCTATTTTAATGTCTTTATCTATTAAAATGTTTAGAGTTTTATCATAGACAAATAAAACAAAGGTACTAATGCAAGGAAAGTTAATTGTGTTCGCGTTCACGCTGCGTACATATTGAAACCAGTTCTCTCTGGGCGCACTTTGTAAACAAGAAAAGAAAAGCATTTAATTTTGATAATTTTGAAAATTCACATAATATTTTCCTATGACCAGAATATTTCGTAGATTACTTTTGTGAAAATGGATCCCATGTCAGGCTGTGACATCCGTCTCGTGTTTACTTTTCCGCCCAAATACAGTACACTGCAATACAAAAAATGCGTGCACCTCTGAAATAACTTTCCTTGCATTAGTACCTTGAATAAAACAAATCATAGCTAGATAGCTTATGTACCCAAAATCCCCAGAATTGTACTGTCCGTGAACTCACACGTCTAGGGGTCAAACTGTACTACAATGATAAGCGGGTTGGATTTGGTGCTTTAACTTTGCTTTAACTGATTTCTTGATTATTATATCACCCAGTGCAGAGGAAGCTTTATGCATAATATTGAAACCTTTGCAGAGTAGCAATTTGTATCTTATCTTTATTGAAAAGTAAAACTAGTTTTTATAGCTGTCCTAGCTGTCCTACATTTTCTCCCCTTCTCCTATGTTACCCACAAAGGATGAGACTTCAGAGACGACTGTACGGATTTAACACTGTCTGTTTCCTCATATTTCAGGTGCCCTGCAACTGTACAATTGTTTCTTTATTTGCCCAATCATAAAAGAGGACATGAAAGACTACATTTATGGCGGAATACGTGTAAGAATAGTAAAATTTTAAAGAATTTTACTCTCAAAGAATCATCTTTACAGTCTCATCCTTTGTGGGTAACCCTGTACATTAGTGTCAAGTACTTTTAATATTGCGACCATATGATACATATCTTATCTCTAAATGTACACATTATAATCCAAAATGAATTAATTAAGTTCTACTCTAGATGTCAGGATTAACAATAGTAATTAAGTTGATAAATCAAAAAATTTCTGTCCAAAAAGAATCCATATTTCAAAACATAGAGACTTTTTTCTACAAAATAAGTTTTAACGTCTTGAAACGCTTAAAATCTTGATAATGAATAATGTTTGACGCGTAAAACTTTAAATGCAATATTTTAACCGATTGCTGATTACATTACTTATCTTTAGTATCTAGTTTGCTTAACTTATCTATGGTTTTATAGAAGTCATAATTATGACTCTTGATTTATCACCAGTAGGACAATGTCATGATCTGTTTTATTCAAACTAGAAATCGACAAGTTCTACGCTATATTTCTTAAGTAAATAAATCAACGGTTTTGTTGTGAAACGTTTATGAGACTCTTTAGTATCCATAAATTAAAGGAACTGATTAATCGCCTCAGCCTCTCATTTTTAATCCTTATATATTTGTAACCTGATTTAATAAACCTCTAATATTACAATTGCTATGAGTTCTGTTGATCAATTAGTCAAAGTTTAAAATATTAAAGATGTATAACGATTAGGGCCCGAATTGGAGAGGTCTCTGAACTACTCATCTGCACCAGTTCAAATCCTGAATCACCGATTCAAACCCTAATGAATCCTTAACTTTGAATTTTGGTGATTCAAGATAGATAGTTCAGCAACCACTGCAAACAAGACCGAAGGAGAAGGTAAAATTTATGCAATATAACTAGTGCAACTTTGCGTCCTCGTAGCTCCTCTAGTTTAGATTTAAAGCAGAAGTATGAGGAAAGCTAATTTAACCTGTTACAAATAAAAATTCAAAACATTTTTTTTTCTCATATCTCTTTCATAAAAAGAGTTATAATTGAAAACACAAAAAGGTTCAATCTATAACTTTGCGACTCAGCTCATGTTCATTCCGTCCCGGGGGATGCAAATATCAAAAGATTAGAAAACTGATGTTTGAGACGAGTAATCTTTGTTTTGATTCGTTTAAAATACTGCCATAAACGATTTATAATACCTTATATCAGAACCAAGAACATGATAGACTGAAGAACTGATATGTAGCTGTAGCATACATTATGCAATACAGTCTCCAGCTGAATATAAACAGCTACATAATTGATTATTGTCATCTTTAATTATTCAATAGTTTACACCTGCTAGTATATGTGTTTTGTTATGTTATCAAAGCGTTTGAAAAGAAAGTATTAAGACTCCAATTTAGTAAATTATAAGAAAATACTAGGAATAATTGTATAACAATTTGTAGTTCCGATCAGCAGACGTACATTTTAGCTTTAACAACAAGTACAAAAAATGATTGTATTTTGCTATTATTATTATTATTACTATAATTATTATTATTATTATTATTATTATTATTATTATTATTAGTAGTAGTAGTATTATTATTATCTTTATTATCATTATTATTATTATTATCATTATTGTGTTAGGTCAGAAAATAGTGAAAACCAAAGCTATACCAATTAGTAATTAGTAATCACAAAATCAGCAATAATGCATATGTCCAGTATAGTACAATGGGAAACATAGATTGCAATGAAAAGGTGCTCACGTTTTAAAGACTGGGTCGACTTGAAGATGTTGCATCTCCTTTAGTTTTACCTAATTAACTCACTTTTTACATTTTTAAGCTATCAAGCAATTCTTGTTAGTTTTAGTATTTATGAAGAAGTTTGCAAAGAACTTGCAACTATTGGATCAATGGGTAAAGGCTGTACTGTAAGAGGTTAATATATAAGCAATTAGTGTCCCCACATAAATCAAAGATCTATTGTACCATCTGTGTATTTTGTAGCTTCAATGGAAAATGTTTCCTTCCCTTTATCCATAACAAAGAAATATGTTGTACAATGATTTATTTTGACATAAGATAATAATTATATTGTGGAATAAGTAACTACCTAGTAGCACGGTGTAGGTTTAAGCAGATATTATTTATTAACGTTGGTTTCATCAATCTTTATCATTATATAATCAGAAGCATTTACATCATTAGCTTACTTTTCAATATTTGTATTAACATAATTTTCAATGATTAGTTATAATATTGTAATATCGATAACGGAATATAACAAAGTGGGATTAAATTTATGATTTTATATATTTTTCTGAAAAAAACGAAAATCTCCCAATATTTTTGTATCAATTTTGCATCTATAGTTGTTAATAGCACTAGGATCAATAGTAATTTTTTGTGAACAAGGAGTAACAACATTTTTATAATAAAAACTGTTTTTAAGTTATAGGTCAATTTAACAAATTTTTTGTTTTTAGTATTGAAAAATTCTACTGTACTCTTTTTATATATCCGGATAAAATCAAATGTTAGAAGTTTTGTTAAACATCTTCTTTTGGTAGTTTTGATTTTTCATGTTTTATCTAATTCCTGAAAAAAGAGCAAACTTTTGTCCAATAAACGCAAAATAGATTATTTTATGCAATGGAGGCAAGAATTCGAGCTTCTTCCTGCGCAATCTTCGAGAACTTGACATCGATGGGCTCCGTGGCCTCGAAGAGGGAGGGGGACTCGGTTAGGATCATGAAGGATCCAACCACCGCGGCTGCTCCAAAAATCCAGAGAAATAAACGATCCAGAACCATGGCTACAATCCCCCAATCCTGGTCCTCCTGCAAAATCAATTGATATTTATTTTGGTCGTCGTCAATTCAGTGTAGGGATTTATTTTTTTCGTTTTTAAACATTTATTTTTGTCTTTCCAGAGGATCTAAACATTTAGAATATTTGATGATGTCTGAAATTGCATGTCTGAAAGTTTTTTAACCATGCCTGACTGAAAGAATAGGCCTGAACGGTTTTGGTTAACAAATCAAATAATAATCAATTTTCAAACAGAGACACATGGATATCTAATTCAAAGTTGAACCGGAGATTCCATTCTTTGATTGAGAGGTACCTTCAAACTAAGCCTCAAGTCCCTTCAGATACATAATTTCATAATCGTTCCTTGAGAAGTATTTAATTTTATAAATGTGTTGGTATATTTTATTGTTTGTGTAGCGCCAACTTTTCTCTTCAAGTGCCATTTTTAATTCAAACTTTATTGTATTCCCGCGAACTATATCCAATATTCTAACCAATCCGATAATTTTTCTAATATTCTCATCAATATTTTCATCATTTCATTGATTTTATCAAATATTCAATCCAAGCATTTTTACGATCCAATTTTCAAATCAAATCCAACTTTTTTTTATAATTCACTCGTCTTTTGTGATCTAGTCCTCTTTCTAATCCAGTCTTCTTTTCTAATCAAATCCAATTATTTTTCTAATCCAATCCAATTATTTTTCTAATCCAATCCAACTGTTTTTCTAATCCAATCCGCTTATTTTTCTACTCTAATCATCTTTTCTAATTTAATCCAATTTTTATTCTGATCCAATCCACCTGTTTTTCTAATTCAATCAAATTATTTTTCTAGTCCAATCTTTTTTTCTGATACAATTTTCATTGCTAATTCAATCTTCTTCAAGTGCCATTAACCCAAAATTGTAAATACCACGATCTTAGGATTAAGTTCGGTCATCTGAATTATATGTGATTTTGAAAATGTTAAAATATGATCTGTCATTTATTTACATGTACAAAGTAGTAATCTCTGTTTGTCTTTCTGATGTCAAAAATATTTTTAGTTGAATAAAAATAAATAAAAAGAAAAAAGAAAACTCAGGAATTACATGGCCAATTTGACTCAAATTTTATTGGAAAACTCGGTAGAACCATGGGAATGTAAATTCTTAGAATTTTATATTAAAAATTGTAGAATTTTATATTAAAAATTCTAAGTTGAGTCGGTTGAATAATACAAGTAAAATCAAAAATATCTTCCTTATTACGTACGCAGATAGTGGTTAGTGCTAATCTTTAAAAGAAAGAACAATTAAAATTACGGCTACAGTCCCTTTAATCAGATCGTTTCCTATAAAAAACAATAATTTAACTAAATTCTGTTCTCACCGCATCAAATTCATCCTGTCTCTGAATATGTGTTTTAATGAAGAGAATATTATGAATAGTTTTCTCGACAACAAACGGTAGTTTTCTCTGTCCCATCGTAGCCTGGGCAGTACCAGCTATCAGCTTCTGGAAACCACTGAAATAATAAGATTTATAGCGTTCATGAAAATAAAAGAAGGACACAAGACGAAGCATAATTGTAAGTTGTTCGATTTTATTTTCTATGTCCAATATATAAGGCTAGCCACGATGAACGAGGCTTTAAAGACGACTTGAGATAAGAAATAAAGAGAGCCGTCAATTTAAGACACAAGATTGAAAGATATTTAAACAGTCAATACTCTAAAGTGCAGTCATCCTTAGTTACTTGAAATGTACACGGTTTTCAATTACATCTAACAATAAAAGTTTAGTTTGTTTTCGCGCAATTTTTTATGATTAAATAATTGTTTACCTGAATATCGAGTCAAGATGGCTCCTGAGCTGACCGTTGAGCTTGTCTCCTGGGAATCCGTTACTCGGCTCACACTCCGATAACTCCGCCAGAGCAGGGTCAGACTGGCGGAGGTATTTACTCCTCCGTATACCATTACTCGCCTTTACAACCTAGAAAAGAAATTTATAGAAAATGAAAAATTAGTTTCAATCAATATCAAATTTATAGAGCAAGTTATGCCTAAAAAATCTATTTAAGATAACCCTTGAAACTAAAATCTGTCAATTTCCGTCGTTGTCTCTCCTACATTAATCTGCAAGTAATGCTATTAAAATTATCACTTTCCAAATAGAAAACAAGAATATCAATAAGTAACATTGTAAATCGGGTATGTGATGATGTAAGTTTTAAATTGGTCACATGCAAATACGTTTACAGTTCCTTTAAATACCTGTTTAGGAACACGCATGAGAAGGAAGCCAGGCATCTTTTGGATCAATATTGTTCGAACCCAGACCGGCATGCGGTGTGTACTCGGCTTCCTACATTACAGTAACATATTTATCAACAAGGAGTGTACTCGCTTCCTACATTACAGTAACATATGTATCAATAAGAAGTGTACTCGCTTCCTACATTACAGCAAAATATTTATCAATAAGAAGTGTACTCGCGTCCTACATTACAGTAACATATGTATCAATAAGAAGTGTACTCGGCTTCCTACATTACAGTAACATATTTTTCCTACAGTACAGAAGCATATTTATCAATAAGAAGTGTACTCGCTTCCTACATTACAGTAACATATGTATTAATAAGAAGTGTACTCGGCTTCCTACATTACAGCAAAATATTTATCAATAAGAAGTGTACTCGGCTTCCTACATTACAGTAACATATTTTTCCTGCAGTACAGAAGCATATTTATCAATAAGAAGTGTACTCGGCTTCCTACAGTACAGTAACATGTGTATCAATAAGAAGTGTAGTCGGTTTCCTACAGTACAGTAATATATTTATCAATAAGAAGTGTACTTCGGCTTCCTACAGTACAGTAGCATATTTATCAATAAGAATTGTACTCGGATTCCTACAGTACAGTAACATATTTATCAACAAGAAATGTACTCGGCTTCCTGTAGTACAGTAAAATATTTACAAACAAGAAGTGTACTCTGCTTCCTGCAGTACAGCAGTACAGTGATATATTTACAAACAATAAGTGTACTCGGCTTCTTGCAGTACAGTGATATATTTACAAACAATAAGTGTACTCGGCTTCTTGCAGTACAGTGATATATTTACAAACAATAAGTGTACTCGGCTTCCTGCAGTACAGTGATATATTTACAAACAATAAGTGTACTCGGCTTCTTGCAGTACAGTAACATATTAGTGAACTAGAACTGTACTTGGCATCCAGCAGTACAGTAACATATATGTAAACAAGAATTGTGTTCGGTTTCCTGCATTACAGTAACATATTTATCAACAAGAAGGTACTAGGCTTCCTGCAGTACAGTAACATATATGTAAACAAGAATTGTGCTTGGCTTCCTGCAGTACAGTAACATATTTATCAACAAGAAGGTACTAGGCTTCCTGCAGTACAGTAACATATATGTAAACAAGAATTGTGCTCGGCTTCCTGCAGTACAGTAACATATTTATCAACAAGAAGGTACTAGGCTTCCTACAGTACAGTAACATATTTATCAACAAAAAGGTACTAGGCTTCTTGCAGTACAGTAACATATATGTAAACAAGAATTGTACTTTGTTTTCTTTTTTATTAACTGTTAATCGTTTAATTCAATGCCATTTACATTATAACATGGTTCAGAATTGTGTCACATTTGACAATCGGTATCTCAAAGCGTATTTCATGAACGGGACGAAGCAGTTTTGTAGATATCAATTTCTTTGTTACGAAATGTATTTTCTATTTCTTAGATCAAAATCTATCCAAATAGATACTAAAAAGAAATCTCAACGACACTCTCTCTCAATTTTCTGGCTCTGCTAAACTAATTGTACTTTACAAAGTGTTAACAAGCCAATTTTGCCTACAAAACATCCAGAGCCCGGCGTGGGGAACCCGTGGTCAATTAATAACTATGTATCTCTTCATTACGATAGAGAGGTCAAGGGAAGCCAAGGCAATGTAATATTCCCTCTTATATTTATTTCATCCTTGTTTCATCACGTGAATTAAGAGATATGTAATTTTTTCAACTTTTTATTTACATCAAAATCTACCATTTTCAGTTTTTAAAAACTGTAAAATCTATTTAGTTTGGAACACATATTTTTGAGTTCAGAAATCAAATCTAATTCATGTTTTCTGAGTAACCTAATTAGTTTGCATCCCTAGGGTTGCAATCTAACATTACGACCCTGGTTTCAGGGTTGCAATGTAAATATCAGGGATTCAATAGTGTCACAATTTTTTGGAAAAAAATTTAATTCCCGATATGATCAAACACATTCGAATCTTTGTATTCGATCGCTACTAATTTTACTTCTATCCATAGCGTACGTCTATAAGGAGAAAATGGTTAAAAATAAGCTTAATGCTTATTATTGATAAAAGTTATGCAAATTCACTAATTTGCATTATACCAGTCAAATTGTAAATCATTCAATTATATCATTTATATAATACAACAAATAAAATCCAAATTTAATTTTGGTCTACTAGATGTAGTTATTATAATATTATATTTCTATTTTTATGGAACACGATTGTAACTTTAAAAATATTCATTCCAATTCCGAAGATTTTTACTAACGAGACGATATTTTCAATCAATAAATCGTTCTCCTAATCTCTTTACTCGAGCATGAATGATTGAGAATGCCAAGCAAGGATGTAATGCAAGGAAAGTTATTTCAGAAGTGTACACATCTTTTGTACTGCTATGTACTGTCTCTGGGCGGTAATGNAATTGCTCTGTATTTGTAAATATTATGTGAATTATCAAAATTATCAAAATTTAATGCTTTTAACCTCCTCGGATACTTAACGAACACTGTGATGCATCTATTCTTGTTTACAAATTCCGCCCAAAGAGAACTGGTTTCAATGTGTACGCACTACGCAGAGTATACACGACCGCAATTAACTTTCCATGCATGCCAAGTATCTTTAATATTTTTGTGAAATCCGTTACGTTAATTTACAGGACTTATCTTATAGAAAGACAGGGGCGTAGAAGAGGGGAGGGGGGGGCTAAATATACTACCTGTAGTGTAGATTAAGAACTATTGTTGCTAAGCATACTGAGACTGCAACGAGCACCATAGAGAAGAGAAGATATCTACCCAGCAGAGGGAGGGTGAGAGAGGTGGCGGGGATCACCTCTATGACCAGAGTAAAGTAAAGAGTTTGGGACACAAGGATCGCTATGGCAAGAGCAGTTTTTTCCCCGGACTACAGAATCATACAATATTTATATTTTATTATTTATTATTCAACATAAATCAAAAGATAATAATAAAAACAACAACAATAATAATGATAATAATAATAATAATAATAATAATAATAATAATAATAATAATGATAAGGACTGCAGTAGG